TGAGGTGGGCTACGCCCGGGCTGCTGTGGAGATGCTGCTGCGGGCGCTGGTGCCCCAGCCCCACCTGGAGACACGGACAGGACGCTTTGTAGTGGTGGAGCTGGTCGCCTGCAATGTGCTACTGCCAGCCATCAGGAAGATGTCTGATCCTGATTGGATCAACCTGCTGCTCATCGGGGCTTTCTCCAAAAAGACACGGGGAATGGAACCACCCCCTGCACCTGCAGTACCTGATTTCTTACCCTTCACAGGACAGTTGGATGCTGCCCCTGCAGGGCTGCCTCCCTCACCGAGGGCCATGGAGGTGCCTGGGCGAGAGGCAGGGGTTGCTGGCAAGGGGGGAGAGGACACAGTGAGTGGGCCATGCCGCACAGAGGAGCCCTTACTCCGCCCGCAGGCCCTGGGCTCCCTCTTCCCCTACGAGGGTTTGGAGCTGGAGTCCCCTGCACCTGATGTGGGCCAGGACACGGACCTGCTGGCACCGTCGCCTGCAGGGGTGTTCCTTGATGAACCCTTTCAGGACACCTCCACTGTGCTGGAGGGACTGGCCTCTTCAGAGGATGGGGTAGGGGACCTGGAGGAGGGCACTGCCACCAGCTCAGATGCTGCCTTGCTTCCCACCTCTGCTTTTGTGCTGAGCTCGTGCCCTGATATTCAGATCGACCCGGCAGTTGAGAAGGAGGAGGAGAGCCTGGCTGTCCTCAGAAAATCCTCTTCACAAAGGCCCTCCAGCCTGGGGAAAGATCTGGCGACAGCAGAGGGCCCACCACAAAGTCCCCCAGACCCTGGGCGGACTCTGCCCCTGCTCTCATCCTCCCCAACGGCTTCCATCAGCACCTTCAGCTTTGAGCCCCTCAGCAGTCCCGACGGGCCGGTCGTCATCCAGAACCTGCGGATAACCGGGACCATCACTGCCCGAGAGCACAGTGGGACTGGCTTCCACCCCTACACCCTGTACACCGTCAAGGTAAAAGCCTCCCCCGGCTCTCACCCCTTTTCTGAGATCCCTGCCCTGGCAGGGAAGCACGTGTGGTGATTGGGGATGGGGACTTGCTCTGTGTGGTGCCAAATTTTGTCTGGCCTCAGGAGAATATCGGGCACAGTGGCTTTTCCAGTGGCCATTTGGGTATGGAATAGGGGTTTCCACTCTTGGTCAAGGGTCATGTGGGGCTGGTGGAGTCTTTTGTATCCTATTGTCAACATGACAGGTTCACGTGCTGTGCAACTGGTGTTCTTCAGGGAAGGGTCAGTCTGAGGAATTGCTGGATGGGATTTCTGCAGGGTCTGGGAACTGTGGGGCCAGCAGGGAGCACAGCGCATCAGGATTATGTTGGGATCTGTTAGGATTATTGACTCTTGCCTTCCTTCGCAGTATGAGACAGCCCTGGAGAGTGAAAGCGCAGGCAGTCTTCAGCAAATGGCTTACCACACTGTGAACCGCCGTTACCGGGAGTTCCTCAACCTCCAGACCAGACTGGAGGAGAAACCGGAGCTCCGCAAATTCCTGAAAAGTCAGTGCTTGTGTTAGCTTCCTGAGACAATTCTCCCTCTCACCCCAATCCACATTTCTCTGCTCTGAGGGTACCCTGTCCAGCCTGTGGAGGGTTGTTTGGGATGCCCCTGTCCTTGTCGAGAATTTTTGGGCTCTCTGAGTGCTCTGGAGTCCTTGTGCTAAGCAGGTGTTCTTGCTTCTTTAACGTTAAAGGCATGGGTGGTGGGATATCAGCAGAACGCAAGTTTAAGGTCTGATTCAGCCACCCTCATTTGAGGGCTGTATTATCCTGGGCTGATGCTGGGCAGCATGAGAGCCTTGGGATTGTAATACAACTGTTGCAGCTCCTCCAGCTTGTTAATGGGTTTGTTTCCTTTGTAGATATCAAAGGTCCAAAGAAACTGTTCCCTGATCTTCCGTTTGGAAACATGGACAGTGATAAAGTGGAAGCTAGAAAAAGTCTGCTAGAATCTTTCTTGAAGGTGAGATACTTGATTGTGTGCCCCAGTGAGGTAGAGAGCAGTGCTCGGGCCAGCTCTGTACTGATCTCTTTGACCCACACTTATGTGATCAAGCTGGGAATCTGACTCGAAAAAGACTTAAAGCTGTGTCTTTCCTTGCAGCAATTGTGTGCCATCCCTGAGATTGCAAACAGCGAGGAGGTGCAGGAGTTCCTCGCCCTGAACACCGACGCCAGGATCGCGTTTGTCAAGAAGCCCTTTGTTGTCTCCAGGATAGACAAGGTAGACAAGTGGGAAACTGGTTATCTGAACCACTTAAGGCTGCACCTAGACGTGCCTCTTTAGCTGCAATGTCTGCATATGTGATTGCTGCAGTAGTAGCCAAAAAACTCAAAGGCCTGAGGTTTTTAATAGAAAACTGAAAACTCTGAATTTGTATTCAAGGAATAAGAATATATTCAGTAACTGATGGCATTGCTGTCTTTTGCAGATTGTTGTTAATGCTATTGTGGACACCTTGAAGACAGCATTTCCCAGGTCAGAGCCCCAGAGCCCCACAGAGGATCTTAGCGAGTCCGAAGTGGATGGGAAATCTCAGGCAGATGGGAAGAAGGCTAACAAGTAAGTGCTCCTTCAGCTTCCCCGCTGCTTTGTGCAGAACAAGGACTTCATATGTAAACTGTCTCCATCGGGGGAATACTGCCTTGGTGCTTTATCTGCTGTGGATATTACATTGCTGTCATGCTCTAGCTGATTTACTTGCTCTTTCATATGCTGAGCAAGGGTATTTGAGTTCCTGTTTGGATAAAAGATTTTCCAGTTTTGAGGCATCTTGGCTGAAAAGGGCATTCCTTAATGATAAACAGGCTATTTTACAATTTGTCCTGCAGTCCCATTGCCTTTCCATATCCTCCTTTCTGCATGTGCTTGTTTATAATTGGATTTCACAATCCTGCTGAGGGTGTTTCATCTCAGAGGCTTTTCTGAATGCTGTCCTGTGTGTGCTGCAACCCTCACACCTTGCTGAATAGCATTGCCTACATCTGCTTGTGAGCTTGTATCTAACATACCTGCCGAAGACCGTGTATGTGGTGGATGTTGGAAAGTCTTGGTTAGGCCCATGTGTTGTTGAGGAAAAGTGCTTTAATGCTTTTGTTACATGGTTTTACTGCCACTTCTCAGTTATCCTGGGGGCAGATGCTTTTTTGAACCACTTAAGGTCTAATCAGACTTAGCTTGGGCATGATGCTGGACAAAGATAGTTGGTCCAGGTTCGTGGCTGAGGCTGGGAAACTCGTCACGGGGAAAACTGACTGTGCTGTGTCTCTCCTCTCCAGGTCCAGGCTGAGGTTCTCATCCAGTAAGATTGCTCCAGTGCTGAGTGTGAACGAAGCACATGACAGGATCGTGTACTCTGTCAGGGAGGGCAGTGCTGTAAGTTCATATCCCTTTTGCAATCCTTTCCGGATCTTAATCATTGCCCTGTTTGGGTGCTGGCTTGGAAGAATCCATGGCACAAGGATCGTGGCTGCTGCAGCCTCATTCCCACATGCCAAGCCTTTGCAGAAAGGCAATAAGCAGCCCTAGTTGTGCTGTTGTCTACAGCAGGGTGCAAACCAGGTAGTGGGAGGCTGTCTGAGCAGTGGAGATCTCTTATGCTCAGACAGCCTTATGATCTCTCTGCTCAGCTCTGGCTGTGTCCAGCTCACTGCTGTGGCACTAATACACCTGTGCTTTTGCAGGTCTCTGGCACCCTGTCGCTGGCTGCTATGGATTCCTTCATCCAGAAGCAGGAGAAGCTTCTAGAAGCAGTTCTGAGCAAAGCTCCCGAAGGTGAGGGAGGCAGAGAAGCTAAGGAAAGCTCCATGCAGGAGGATATGGACAGGCCGAGCACATCGGAGCAGGGGACACATCTGGACACGGATGCTGGTGAGCTCAGCCCCGCTGCTAGTGCTTTACTGTATCTCCCTGGGTACTGCAACAGCTCCAGCATGTGCAGGTGCCGCTTGCAAGGCCTTCAGTGTGAGGAACTGGTCTCCTGCACCTTGATTAAAGGGAAGGCAGGCTGAGTCTTCCCAGCTCTGATAGGTGATTGCTCTGGTCTTTGTTGCTATTGGAAGGAAATTGGGTCTTGGCTCGGTTGTGTCACTTTAGGTCTTCACCTTAGTGTAGGAGGCCACGAAGATGATCAGAGGGCTGGAGCACCTCTCCTATGATGAAAGGCTGCGAGAATTGGGCTTGTTCAGCCTGGAGAAGAGGAGGCTCCGAGGAGACCTCATTGCAGCTTTCCAGTATCTGAAGGGGCTACAAGGGTGCTGGGAGAGGACTTTTTACAAGGGCCTGTAGTGATAGGACAAGGGGTAATGGGTACAAATTGAAAACAGGGAGGTTTAGATTAGATATCAGGAATAAATTCTTCCCGGAGAGGGTGGGAAGGCAGTGGTACAGGTTGCCCAGAGAAGCTGTGGATGCCCCATCCCTGGAAGTGTCCAAGGCCAGGCTGGATGAGGCTTGGAGCAACCTGGTCTAGTGGAAGGTGTCCCTGCCCATGGTAGGGGGGTTGGAACTAGATGATCTTTAAGGTCCCTTCCAACCTAAACCATTCTATGATTCTATGATTCTACTCAGTACAGTTACTGCAGAAGTAAGTGAAGGACACACTGCTTAAACTGCCAGTGTTGTGAAATCAAGCTCTCAGAAACTGATAAATGACCAAATTACGGTTTCTTGGTAGTCTCCAGTTAGCCTTGCTGTGTCCATGCACTATGAAAGTACCTTTTGAGATTCATTAAAGTTGGGCTAGATTTGGTGGGGATAGCCAATATGTAATCCCAGTTCAAGGAATGATGTTCGCTTTCTGATTGTGGCCTTGAAGCGCAGGAGCGCTACGGCCTGTTACAAGATTATCCTGAACGCAAATGAGAATATGTTCTCTAATCTTTTTCTTGGAATAACTGAGCTGTATCAGCTGGAATTTTCCAAAAATTTCACTCCAGTGGTTCAAGTCTGGCAAGCTCTGACTGAAAGCGCGTGCTTGTGACAGGATGGGTCTGGTATTCTGAAACCCAGCCTGTGCTGCTAGCTTTGCCTGTAATCTTTGAACGCAAGCCCGCAGTTGTTTGGGGGCTGCTGGGGAGCAGAACTGGAATCAGAGGCCAGTGCTCTGCACAGAGCACGAGAGATACAGGCAGGCCAAGTGAGCTGAACGCTTAAGGAAATCCAATGCGAACGATGTCGGATGCCTGCAGGTCTGCGATGCTTCAGAGCCCAGACAGGGCAGGCTGGTCTGGCGGGGTGAGAGGAATGAATGTCTGGGGAGCGGCTGGCTAAAAAGGCAACCAGTGTCCGTATCTCCTCCCGAGGTGACTTCTCGGAAGAGGTTGGCTAGCAGCGCTCTGAGGAAGGGGACTTGGATGCTGCGGGAATAAACAGAGCCCGCTGATGATGCTTTTTGTATGGGGTTACGCTGAAGCTAAACAGCCTGCTCTGTTTTTTGCACGGGGAAGTCAAGTCTCAAAGGGCAAAGCAAGTGAAGAGCAACTTAAACATGGCCCACAGCAAGAGGCACCAAATGTACTCCTGCTGGTTTATCCCAGTGAAATGGAATGCAGCAGGGAGAGGAAGAGACAGGAAGGAGAGGTGCTGGGCTCCAGAATCCCTCTCCCCTTTATCTCCAGCAGTAAATCGTATGTGAACAGTCTCGTTGGCTCTCTGTAGGCAGAAAGGTCAGGCGCTGGGGAAGGTCAGAGTAAGGGAAGCTGCTGTGCAGCTCACTCGGAGCCGAGGCAGCAGCCTCAGGTTGGGGCGCTGGTCTAGGAGCCGCTTTCTCGGGCAGGTCTGTGGGACGCTAATAAGGTTATTAACAACCTAACACCGATGATGCTTTGGGCCAAGCGGCGTAGGAGTAATTCTCTAGCAAGCAGAATGTGTTTACACCATACTCTTTGACATCCTCCTGAGGATCAGAGAGAGGTTTTGCTTTTCCAGGTCGGTGTCGCCAGGGATATGTGGGCATACATGTGGGTTTTCATTTTAACTGGTTTATCCAGATGTGGTTCATCCATTTTCCTGCTGGACTTGGAGCTGCCACACGATGGCAGCCTGCAGTCACCGACCAGAGCCTTGTGCCTGGAAAACTGCAAGTTAGAAGAGGGGAAAGTGTTGGTGAAGACGGGAGACAGCCCTCAACGATGTACCTTTCTCCTGGCTAAGCCACTGCCTTCTTCCTCACCTGTTTTGGGCACACTGCCATCCCCACGTGTGGACTGGGTTTTGGTAATCCCTTGGTTTAACTGAGCAGGAACTGAGCACTCGGAGCAGCCATGTTCTGGTCTGCTGTGCCCCTTGGCAGGAAGGTTGGAGCTGCCTGAAGAAAAGTGGAAATGACAGAGAATGACCAGTGCAGGTTCCCTAGACTGGCTGTGTGGCACAAGGTGCTGGGGAGAAGAGCATCAAGCAGGCTGTTGGGGAAAAGAGGGAGTTTCGGATGATGCTTTCCACCAGCTTTGCGTAGGCACTGAGTTGGCTTCTTCATCTGACCCTCCTCTTCCTCCTAGCAGACTCTGAGACAGCTTTGGCTGACATGGCCCTGGATGTGCTTCGTCTGCTGCTGATGGATCACTGGAGCTGGCTGTGCACGGAGAACATCCAGAAGGTTTTCCACCTGCTCTTTGGGACCCTCATTCAAAGGTAAGGCCTCGAGGCCCAGCCTCACAGCTCTGTGAGGTGGCATTGCCTTTGGAGTAAACAGTCTAAAACAAAGTTCTGTGAAGATGGCATATGTATGTAGCGTAAACATCATGGAGATTGGCACTAGGAGCTGTTTTCCCTGTGAGCAGCAACATAACTCTTAACAGGCAGCCTCCTGCCCTTTAAAAACAGGGGAAAGGAAGGATGCAGCCCTGGGAATGGGAGGCTTCTTGCCTCATGAAAGGGTGAGTGCCCAGCTCCTTGGCTCTCTGGGGAGACACTGGCCTCTTCTGGCCTCCTGGTCTCTCGCTGCCCAGTGTCTCAGCTTGTTCTTTCTACAAAAGGAGAATGAATGGGCACAGCGAACAGCAACTTGTCAAATAACAGCTTGGAGTGCGGCTTCCTGAAGCCTTTGCTGCACCCCTCTCTGATCTGCGGTGGGCCAGTAGTGCCTGTGCTGTGGGCAGTGACCCACAGATATGTTGGGAAAAGACTTCCTCCCCAGCGGGTGTGTACTTGCCAAGCTTTTCTGGGGCCAGTGCCTCTGGGTGGTGAGGCACTAGGCCAAGACACACAAACAGTGTTGATGTTTTCTTGTGTAGGTTGGTGACTATCACTAGCTGAGGATATGGTCCTTTAGAATAAAAGGAAAGGCTTCCCAGAAGGACTTGGGCTAGGGGGAGCCTCAGAGCAATGCTCTTCCCCCTCCTGCGCCCTTTATTCTCTCGCAGGCGCTCGAAGCCAGAGTCAGAATGTGCAGGGCAGCACATTATAACCAAGTTGGTAATTTAAGCTGCCCTTAGCAGAAGTTGCTGAAGTTCTTTCAGGTCAGGGGCTGCCATCGCTCCCGAGTCTGTTTCCTTGGGTGGGAGGAGGTGGGTGTTGCTCCCATTTCTCCAAAATGGGTTCTGGTCTCTGGGGGAATGAGCTGCAACCCAGTTTTTGTGTGTAAGCACAGAGGTATGGGAGCTTGAATAAGCACGTCATCACCTCCTAATAAGCTGTGTCCTGGTCACCCGGAGAGTGTATGGCACTGACACGTGGCATCGGTATTTTCCACTAGTGAAGCTGTCGTACACACAGCACATGCTGGCTCCAGAAGGAGGAGCTCCACAAGTGCTGCTGGAGCAGCAGGAGGGTGAACGTGCCTGTAGCTGCTCCGCTTCAGGGGTCTGGGTGAACCCACATCAGGCAACCACTTGGGAAGTTGGGAAGTCCTGTGACATTTGGTGCCTCTTGCTCTGGGCCTTGGTGTCGTGATCAGGGTGTAAATATGAACCTTTTGAACGAACCCCGTGTCCCTGGGGCTGTGCTGTCCGTGCTGACATCCACATGTTGATGCTGGCTCTGCTCTTGTTCTGGGAGAGTCGGGAGCCCACAGATCCGGGGTGAAGGGGACAGGGGAAGGAGTTGCACACTGTGAAGCAAGAGGAGGGTGGTGTTGCTTATGGATTGCTGCAGAGAATAGTTTCCTCCCCAGTTTCTGTTGCTGTAGTCACCACTCCAACCCAGAACGTTGTGCTTGGGACAGCACCTAGGCCTCTTGAAAGGGAGGAGTGTTTGGGTGGAGGTTCTTCTGTCTCGAATCAGGGGTGGTGGGTTTTTAGTGATTCTGGAAGCCCACGTGGAGAGCTGGGATTCAGCAGCCTAGTGTGACGGGCGCAGGAACTGCCCTGAGAGCAGTCAGTGTCTGCCTCTCACTAAAGCTGTGATCTGTCATGAAAGCAGAGTTCAAACAATGCCCAAGATGGTTCAAGATGAGGTTAGTTACCTCCAGAGAGGAGGAGATTTGGATATAGGAGGGCTCTGTGCTCATTTGCCATTGCACCCTGTCCCTGAGCCACAAGAAGGGTGGCTGATCCTTGCTGTACTCGTGCCTGGCCCAAGTGGCTGCTGCTGTCCTGAGCAGATCAAGAAGTCTGTAGCTCAGACACCCTGTCTGGGGTCACAGCATGAATTTGGTGGCATTTCTCTTCCATTTAAGTATTTGTAACTTGACCGCTGTTTGGCCAGCCCTGGCGCAGCCCTGGCACTGGCATTCTGGCTAGCGCTGCGTCTGGCTACCCTTTGTAGGTAGAGAAAATACCAGAAGCTGTTCTGGGAGCGTGATCTGTTCAAGGAAGTATTGTTCAAACACAGGGCAGAAGGTGGGCATGCATCTGTTCTCTAAGCATTGCTGGTCACAAAGTATGAGTAGTAATCACCCCTCCAAGAGACAAGGTCCTTCCCTTCTCCCATCAGTGGCAGGGTTAGGTGGTGGGTGGCGAAAGGAGGTGACTTAGCAGTGTTTTGGGTGTTAGGAAGGGGCTTGCTCCTGGATACTCCTCTGCCAGCTTGTGTTTGGTGAGTAGCGTGCTGCTGGAGCATCCCACCACCCTCCTCTTTCCCCTCCGTAGCTGAAATCACTGCAGCCAGGCGCTATCTGTCTCCCCTGACTGTCAGTTTAATGGCAGCTGGGGAGAAGGCGGCTGTATGACCGAAAAAGGTATTGTTAAGTAAAAGGGAGGCCACCCGTGCAAGCCCACATCCCTGCGGTGCTCATCCCATTATGTAACAGGGAGCGATCCTTTTTCGGAGCTGAAAGGTGGGTGGAGGGGAGACAGAGGGGCCGGGAGGCTCCCTGGGACGACCCCAGGGCTGAGGTTTGCTTCCAGCAGCCTGTCTGTGGGCTGGGTCCATGCCTGTAAACAATCCCGTTGCCCTGCTCCAACTCTGCACCCCTCCTCTGTCCAGCTCTCTCCCCTCCCACAGGCTGGAAACGCAGATCTCCTCTCCTTCATGGGGTGGCTGCAATAGGGACCTGCTTGAAAAGGGAGTAGATGGGGCTATTCTGGGCTCTGGGGGTGTTTGGTGGAAGAGCTAAAAAGCATTTGGAGAATCCATGTGCTTTTTAGAGCCTTGTGAGTCAAAGCAGCGTTAAAAATACATGGCAAGCGCGCGAGCCACGCTGTGGCTGTGACCCCACGCCCTGCCCTCACCCCTGATGGCACGGTGGTCACTGGGTCACGGGTCTGCCACTGCTGCGATGAGCTGGGGCGACAGCTCCCCCGGGCACCAGCTCCCCGTGCCCTTCGGCTCCTGCTGAGCTTCTCCCAAACCCACATCTGCCTTCCCTTCCGGAGGGCATCCCAGCAGAGGATCCAGCATCCTGGGGATGGACCTGGGAGGATTTTAGATTGCAGATATGGGTCTGTGTGCTTTTTCTAGCTCCTTCCCGTGCACCACAACAGACAAGCACGGCACAAACTGCAGAGTGGAGATGTCTTGGTGCACCCCAGCCGTCTGCACCCCGTAACCTGAGTGGGGCTGGGGCGCAGAGTCCATGCCGGAGCGCAGAAGCGGCTGGGTGTATATAAGGGAGTGCATGGACCTACGCGGGTGGCTTTGATGGTGTCAAGTTCCACCAAGCACAAGTTAAAATAAATGCAATGCGAAGCATCCCTGCCTTGCCCAGGAGCTCAGCAGTGCTTGGCTTGCTGTTCTCTTCGGGTCACTCTGGTGCTCCCCTGTCCTGTCATTCCTCAGCAAATCGCGTGGATTCGGGGAGGTGATGTTGCAGTCTGTGTGAGATGGAGTGCCAGGGATGCTTTGAGACTGATTAGGATTTTATGAGAATGGATTCTTGCAAGTTTTTCTAGCTCTGGTTCCCAGGGCTCTGGCTAGATTTGGCTTCTTTTCCTTGTAGGGTTTTCTCTCTTGAGCTGGTTCCTCCAAGGTTTCAGACACTGAATGGGAAAGAAACTCCATCTGAGTTCGGATCTACCCTGAAGCTAAGTCTTGGGCTGTGGTCTGGCAGGGAACCTGGCTCTTGGGTGCCATGGCAAGGGACACAGTATGTCTGGAGCATCTGAATTCTTGTTGCAGCCTGGATTTTGGCAGGGGGGTCAGTCTGTTAGGGTTTGGATAACCTGATATCCATGGCCTGTGGTGGACAAAGGTGCTGGGTTGTCCGTTCAGTGGGGCAGTAAAGGGTCCTGGCAGCCAAGCCTGAGCTCCCTTCAGCATTCCAGACATCTGTGCTGGTACAGAGGGTGCTGAAGCTCGCTCTCACGGCTCGTCTCCCATCCTTCCTGCAGCAGGGCTGCGGCGCAGTGCCTGACCATCGTGCGAGGTGGGTTCAGGTGGGCTGCCGCTGGAGGTTTCCCCCATGTGCAACCCCAGACTGCCCTTGCCTTCGTGCTGGCCTCTGGGCTTTGGGGCTGCGTGCCTGAGCCTGGCGATGTCAGCCCAGGTGTTAGGGGCACTTCTGCAACTGCCAGTGTGAGTCAAGGAGCTCGAGGCTTCAGGGAGTTGCTTGCTGGGTGTTTCTATATTGTTTTTTCTCTTCTTCCTTGATCTCTGTGCCAACAGAACTGGCAAAAACAAAAGACCCTTGGCTGTCTCCTTGATCCTCTTGACTTGAAAGTGCCACTGGTGTGTAGTGTTGCCTGACCCTCTCAAATGTCCCTGGGTAAACCCAGCCGCTTGGGCAGCCAAGCAGCTGCAGCCCTAGGCGTGCTGGGAACATGCTGCCCGTGGGCAAGCGATTCTGCCCAGCCCTGGCCGCCTGGAGCCCCGCGGGGGCCGTATCCGACAGCCGAGATGGTGAGCCAGACCGCATCCTGGGATGCGCCAGGACTCGGCACAGAGCTGGGCTGCGTGCGTGTCACCTGGTGTGGGGGGTACCCAGGGGTGGGATGTGGCTGTGTGTGGGCAAGCGTTGGCTGCAGGGGCTCCCTGATCCCTTGCTGCAGGGTTTGTATATAGGGGAACCAACCTTACGGCATCTTCCTCCCCGGCTCTGGACTCGGCTGTTTGTATTGTAGCTGTGAGGA